ACTACACTAGATATGTTGTGATTGATTTGTTAGTTATCTAGAAGATCCTTCGTTTTTATCATTTTTTGGTGTAGTGGGTGATTGAAATTTGTTTTTATATTGCTTGTGAATCAGTAACATAAGCAAAGATGTGAGAGATCATTCTTTTTTTTTGTCTGTTGTAATAAATATTGCTCATTTTTTGTTTTTATTTATGCTTCTGTTTAGTTTTTTGGTCTATGAATTGGAGATTTGGGAATTTGAGTTCTGCAGGCATCCTTTTGAAGTGATTAGACCTTACTTCTTCCTCTTTTTTGGTATAAATTTTGCTCAAGCAGATAAGCTAATAAGCCGAAGATACAGCCACTAATGCTTGCATTAGGATAAATTCATATCACACCTCTTGCGGTGTGGACAATCATATCTGGAGCGAAATTTATAAAATGCCTCGTATGGAAACACATCATCTCTTTTTCCCATACGGATAAGCTTTGCAATGCTTCTGCGGAGTTGGATATAGCTACCTGATAAACAATTTAAGATTATGTAGGCTTTAGAAGTTTCTAAGGAAAGCTAAAATAAATTACAAAATAGATATATAGACCTTGCTTCATAAATCAAGGACAAGTAGATTTTTTCGCATAAATTTTGTGGTTTATGAAATTCAAAAGATTCGGCTCTTGTTCACGCTTCCAACAAATCAAGCGAAACTACTATTTTTGTTGGTAGTTTGTGAGTACTTAAATTTATGCAGGAAGCCAGAGGAGTATTGAAGATAATACAACATAAATCCAAACAGGCAATACCATGTTATGTTGAGCTTATTGCATTCTTAAAAACTAAAATAATACAGCACTGAATCCATGGATGACATTATCATAAGAATAAAGAAGTTTTGGAACTGGATGGTGGCCATTTTGTGTAGTGGGAGTTCAATCTTGATTGTAGGAGTGTACATGACCGGGTTGGTTCGGATTTTTCAAATATCAAACCAAATCATTTGTGTCGGATTTTTAAATCTATAAACCAAACCAAACCAACAAAACTCGGGTTTTTTTGGGTTTTTCTGGTAAAGTATTCATACGAACATATAATTTACTTGTACTTCAAATATTTCTTTAGTCCTGCTAAAATACAACTATCTAAGGTGTTTCTTAAGAAAATAACACGAAATATGATATGAGTAATGATACTAAAATATCCAAAAAAAAAATAATAATAATGAAATCACGTAAAACAAATACTGCAAATTAACAAGTCATAATGAAAATGATCATAATTTAAAAGTACTAAATCATGCTAAAATAAGTTTAATAAGTATTAGTTACATGACTAAATATTAAAGGAAATTAAAATTAGATTATATATTTGAATTGTCTAAACCAATGAACAAATATTCAATATTATTGTTGACAAAATCAGCAATACAAGCTGAAGAAAAACTCCATTAACGAAAGCTTAAGCTCACATGGAAGAAGCTAAGACTAGAGAGAGGAATAGCATGAAGCCATCTATTTTGAATGAATGAATCAGTCTTTACAAAGTGTTACATATATACAAAACTTCAATTGGAACAATCTAGAAGGAACCATCTAACTAACTTGATTCCCTACCTAACTAACTTCTAACTAATTATAACAAACTAAAATACTTTAATTGCATAATCTCAACAGCCCCCCTCAAGTTGGAAGTGAAGTAATCGCAGACAACTTGCTCAAAATCGTAGCATGTTTGACTCCAGTAAGTGCCTTGGTGAAGATGTCTGCAAGTTGTGAGTTGGTGGAGATGTGCTGAAGTACAACCAGTCCTTGTTGGATCTTATCCCTAACAAAATGGCAATCCACTTCTATATGCTTTGTCCTCTCATGGAATACAGGATTTTTTGCAATGTGAACTGCCGCCTGGCTATCACAAAACACACGTATAGGCAGGGGACAATCCACTGTCAATTCTGCAAGTAATCTCTCAAACCATACCAACTCTCCCACCACCTGTCTCACAGCTCTATATTCTGCTTCAGCTGATGATAAGGACACTGTAGCCTGTTTCTTGGACTTCCAACTAATGGGACTATCACCCATAAGGACCAGGTACCCACTGACAGATTTCCTAGAATCAGGGCAAGCTGCCCAGTCTGAATCACAATAAGCTTTGACAGTAAAATCAGGTCTAGTTGAGATAAAAATTCCCAATGTAGGATCTTGCTTTAGATATCTAAGGACATGATAAGCAGCCTTCAAGTGTGGTTCCCTGGGTGTCTGCATGAATTGACTGAGATGTTGAACACTATAAGCTATATCCATCCTAGTGTTTGTGAGGAAATTAAGCTTTCCTACCAGTTTTCTATAGTGAGTGGGATCGGACAGTAACTTGCCATCTGTAGCTTGAAGCTTTTCAGTAGAATCAAGAGGGGATAAAGCAACTTTGCAGTTCATGAAGTCATGCTCTTTTAGCAGGTCAGTAGTAAATTTCCTTTGGGAAATCAGAACACCATCTTGCCTGTATAGTATTTCCAGTCCCAGAAAATAGTGCAGTTTACCAAGATCTTTTATCTTAAACTGATCATGCAAAAAAGCCTTCAGTGAAGTAATTTCCTCTAAATCAGTACCTGTTAAGATCACATCATCAACATAGACAGCAACAGATACTAAGGAACACCCCTTCTTTTTATAAAACAGTGAATAGTCACTGTTTGAATGTGTGTAACCCTTGGAACAAAGACTGCTTGCTAGTTTGTCATACCATTGCCTGCTTGCTTGCTTCAGGCCATAAAGGGACTTTTTAAGTCTACAAACCATGTTGTCATTGTCCACCAGCAGGCCTTGTGGCAATTCCATGTACACCTCTTCATGCAAATCACCATGTAAAAAGGCATTGTTTACATCCAACTGGTACATGTCCCAGCCTCTCTTCACAGCCAAAGAAACCAAGGTTCTAACAGTGGTCATCTTGACCACAGGTGAGAAAGTCTCAGTGTAGTCTATCCCGGCTTGTTGAGTGTACCCCTTGACTACTAATCGAGCCTTGAATCTTTCCACACTCCCATCTGCCTTGTGTTTAATTTTATATACCCACTTGCATCCAATGGGCTTCTTGTCCTTAGGTAATGGAACCAGCTCCCATGTGTCATTTGTGTATAAGGCTTCAAACTCTTGTGTCATTGCCATTTGCCAAGCAGGATTCAGGATTGCTTCTTCATAAGAACTAGGTTCACATTCATGTGAGATGGTCTTCACCAACTGCTGGCTATTAGAACACAAGGTAGTAAAGCATACATGGTCATGGTTTGAGATAAAAGAAGTCAGGGAATGGTGTGGATCAGGAGTATTTGAGACATGTGTAGGGGTATGCAATTTGGGCAAATTGTAATTGTATTCTTTCAAATAGTTAGGGGTGTGAATGGACCTAGTGGTTCGCCTAGGTGCATGTATTGATGGTGCATCAGTGGGGACAGAAGTAGGAGGATTGGGCAAGGAGGAGGACTGGGCAGTGGTGGTAGTGTCGTGGTTAGGAACATGTTCAGGATGATTATTAGCAATTTCAGGAGATGCATATGTGTCCAGCAAGTCATCATTAGCAAAAATACTCATTTGACTAGGTATAGAAGACAATTTAGCAGGATGGATAATCAACTTTAAGACAGAATCAAAACTAGAACCATTAGGAGCAACAACAAAAGGAAAAATAGCCTCATGAAAAAAAACATCTCTAGATACATGAACTCTTTTGGTAGCTAAGTCTAGTACCTTGTAGCCTTTAGTGTTGAAAGGGTATCCAACAAAGATGTGAGGTGCTGCCCTAGGTTCAAATTTATCCTTATGGGTTTTCAAAGTGGTGGGGAAACAAAGACAACCAAAACTCCTAAGGTGAGAATAAGTAGGCTTTCTTTTGTACAACAATTCGTATGGTGACTTATTGTTCAGTATTTTTGTAGGTAGTCTGTTAATGATGTAGGTAGCAGTTAGGACACACTCCCCCCAATATCTCATGGGAATTTGTGATTGATAAAGAAGTGCCCTTGCTGTCTCCAAAAGATATTTGTGTTTCCTTTCTACGACACCATTCTGTTGAGGAGTATAAGGACATGATCTTTGGTGTATTATCCCCTTTTCTTGAAAAAAACTGGTTGCTTCACCACTTGTAAATTCTAGACCATTATCAGATCTAATGGTTTTCAACTTGGTTTGAAATTGGTTTTCGATGAGAGATACAAAAGCCTTCACAACCTGTAGTGCATTACTCTTGCACCTGATCAGTTGTGTCCAAGTTGATCGACTATGATCATCTACCATTGTCAAAAAATAATTGTAGCCATCATGTGTAGGTACATGATAAGGCCCCCATAGATCAATGTGTAATAGCTCAAAAGGTTCTCTAGTGGTGGTAAAGCTTTCTTGGAAAGGCATTCTAGCTTGTCTTGCCATAGGGCAAATGGTACATGTAAAAGGTTGTTTGGCAGAAAAACTTACTGGTATGGTAGAGATACTTTTCATTTTTATAAAAGGAACATGTCCTAGTCTAGCATGCCACAAGAGTTCAGCATCATGAGTATGAGATGTAGGTAAAAAATTAGCAGAAGGAGAAATATGGTTATCAGAAAGACAGGGACAATCAACAATTGAACAAGCTTCTTTATTGATCTTGTGAGAGTATTTTACAAAAGGAGATTGGGAAAAGGGAAGCTTGACTGGTACAATGAGAAGGACAACTAGCAACATGGGATGAAACATTACTAACAGGAGGTGCATGGCAATTATGGCACTTGAGACATAGGAAGTAGAGGCCATTTTTAGCTTTACCAATCTCCAGAGGGATTGTCCCCTGCCTATACGTGTGTTTTAATGAACAAGAGAAGTTATTAAAACTGACTGTCCCTTTAAGTTGTAGGGCCAAACAATGGACAGATATTAAATTGAATTTAAAACTAGGTACAAACAGTACATTGCAGATGGTTAAAGCTGGATTCAAACAAGCATCTCCACTTTCAATTACTTTAACTTTGTATCCATTAGGTAATGTAATTAAGAAAGGGTAAGGTAGTGGTCTAATGTTTTTAAGGATGGCTTTGTATAGGTCATGTGATGTGATGCACCAGAGTCGATGATCCAAGAACCAGCAGTTAGTTTAGTACACCTACAAGATAGATCACCTATTTCAGTTATAGAAGAGTAGCAAGCAAGTATACCTGCCAAGTTCACAGCTCCACTCATCATATTGTCTGAATTGTCGAAGTTAGAATTTCCATTTCCAATCTGCAGAGTTCCCAAAAGATTCAGTAGCTGTTCATATTGATCTTTAGACAAGTTCAAAGGCATTTGCTTCTTCAGTGCAGAATCCTCCTCATTCTGGTGCCCGTGCCCATTCATCTCAGCAGCACATACATTTCCTGCTGATCCAGATCCCTTCCCCTTTGGAAACCTTGAGTTGGGTGGGTAGCCATGAAGTTTGTAACACCTGTCCTTTGTGTGTCCTGATCTCTTGCAGTACTCACAAAATAAAGAGGACCTGGTAGTGCTAGAGCTGCCCCTAAACACATTGTTATTGTTGAAGTTCCCATAGTTGTTTCCACCTCCCCTAGTGGAACTGTAGTTAGTTTTAAAATCTTTGCGTGCTGTACTATTGCTAGACTGGCCATAGGCATTCAGTGAGGTAGAGTCAAGAACTGTGTGATTGTTAGGCTTCACTTCCCTTTGCTTCTCCTCTTGGGATAGGATGGCGAAAGCCTGTGCCATACTTGGAAGTGTACTCATCATAAGGATATTGCCTCTGATGGATGTATACATCTCATTTAAACCCATTAAGAAGTGTATGAGTCTCCTGTCCTGTTCAGCTTTGTGCAACTTGGTCTTACCACCACAAGTGCACACACATGTGCACTGAGAATTGACATCTATAGTGCTCATTTCTTCCCACAACTTCTTCATTCTTGTATAATAGCCAGTAATGTCCAGAGGACCTTGAACGAGGTCATTTATCTCTTTCTGTAGCTGATATAGTTTGCATCCATTGGTTTGATCATACCTTTCTTCCAACTCTGCCCAAAGCTCATGAGCATTATTTACATACTGCAGACTGTCACGTAGATCAGGAGATAATGAATTCAGGATCCAAGAAGTTACCATATCATCACACTTTCCCATTGCAGAAAACCAGGATCAGTAGGAGCAGGTTGTACAAGTGTTCCATTGATGAATCCTATTTTGCTTTTCACTGATAAAGCTCTAAGTACAGCTCTTCTCCAAGATCTGTAACCTGTACCATCAAAAACTGCAGGCAATAGAGAAGATCCAACACTTTCTGATGGATGCAAGTAAAGAGGACTGGCAAAATCTATTCGAACTGATGTGGGATCAGCATGAAGATGAGAGGAACTCGAATTAGCTTCAGCTTGGAGATCAACCATATTGAGAATCGCGAAGAGATTCAATCACTCGACAATCAACCAATAACAACACAAAAACAAATACAGATCCAATCGTGACAATCAAACAAGAACAAAATGAATCCTCCAGATAACAGAGAGGAGAAAACAGATGAAGATCGGAAATGACAGAAACAATAGAGGAATTCAAAATGCAATTCTTCAGGGAAGAAAAATTGATCAATCACAAACCAGAGAAAAAAAACTTCACGAATTGGATTAGATGCGGAAGAGAATTTGTGAGCAATCTCTGGGCTCTGATACCATGACAAAATCAGCAATACAAGCTGAAGAAAAACTCCATTAACAAAAGCTTAAGCTCACATGGAAGAAGCTAAGACTAGAGAGAAGAATAGCATGAAGCCATCTATTTTGAATGAATGAATCAGTCTTTACAAAGTGTTACATATATACAAAACTTCAATTGGAACAATCTAGAAGGAACCGTCTAACTAACTTGATTCCCTATCTAACTAACTTCTAACTAATTATAACAAACTAAAATACTTTAATTGCATAATCTCAACAATTGTCATTCTTAGTGTTGAATTGATTTTCATTTTGCATTAGTATTGATTTGATTTTGATTTAAACTTTATTATAATTACCAACATATGTGGACTATAATCTTTATTGAACCATTCAGAATTCTAAGTTTCAAACTTGAAATAATATATTAAAAGATAAAAACTATGAAAAAGTATAAGAAATATTTAAACATTATATCAAAGTAAATATTTTTATGTATAAAATAAAATTTTAAAATTATATATTTAATGTCGGGTTGGTTTGGTCTCGGATTGGTTTTTTTTAGTTAAAACCAAACCAACCCAAATATAGTCGGGTTTTTTTTTCAATACCAAACCAAGTCAAAACAACCACTAGTCGGGTTTTTTTTCTCGATTTAACTCGATTTGCGATTTGATTCGATTTTCGGTTCGATTTTGTACACCCCTACTTGATGGTATCAATAATGGAAGAATGCCAGTTTTGGCGACTAGCAAAGCTTTTAGGCATAAAAGACTTGTCCAAATGGACAATGCAAGTAGACCTCTCTCCTGAGGTTCCTAATAATAAAGAAGGGCTAAAGAGAAAACAAGAAAACAGAAGAAAAGGTACTCCTAACATAGTTTTTTTTTCTCTACACTGTGTCATTCCTTCTATAACACAGCCTTAAGGAATTAAAAAAATATGAATTGTTGGAAATATATGTTAATTTCTTTTAAAAGATTATTATTAATGAATAATTGTCTTTTTATTTGCTTTCATATTTAGAATTGTAATTTATTGTGAAAATTATATTGCTTAAAAGAGTATGATGGTGATTGTAATTGAAGAGACATGTTGGTACCTCCACGGTTACAAGTCATTTTCTCATTACTTTGGATCTCTCATTTTTTTTTATTGGCATTACTATAGTGGGATTTCAATAAAATGAGCTCCATTTTTTTAGCTTCTTATTACCTGCGGGAGTCCCGCTGCCATTAACATTCCATGAACTTTACTCTCTTTTATTTGTATATTGCCCTTTGATAAATCAAAGAGATCGTTGAGAGAAATTGATATTACTTAATGGGCATGATTAAGTATAAAGCCATATTGAGTTAAAGCAATAGATATGGATTCGTATGTTTCTACCATTTGTTCTACATTGTCACCATTGATGAGAATGTCATCAACATATACCAAGACTAGGTGGATGTTTGCCTCTTGAAGACTTTCTTTGTACTGCAACTCATAGCTCTTAAGTAGTTCTCTTTTGATATCGATTGGGTATATGTTCATTTAACTTAAGGCTTTTAAAATTGAAATTTTGTTTGATTTGCCAAATACTTTATCTTGTAAGTGCAAGGGGCATAAGTTATTTAGGTGCTTAATTAATTAAAGAGAAAAATATAAATATTTAGTCGGTAAGTTCCTCCATCTTTTCCATATATCACTCATTTTCTTGTCACTATCTTTCTTACTTTTGTGGAATAAATATGGGAAAAGGTAGAAGTACCTCCCTAGACTATGACCCAAATTCCAAAGACAGTTTAACTAAACTAAGGTCCTATTATCCCCCTGAACTCATTTTGTACACCTTTTTGGCTTACGTGACATCCAAATATATTCCACGCGCCTCAACTGCGTGGAGTCACGGGGTGTGCCAACATAAAGGCCAAAAAGGTGTACAAAATGAGTTCAGGGGGATAATAGGACCTTAGTTTAGTTAAGGTGTGTCTCTGGTATTTCGGTCATAGTCTAGGGGGGTACTTGTGCCTTCTCCCAGTAAATATTTGTAATAGTAATTTATAAATGCAGAGGAACAAGTTAATTTTTCCTCTCGCATAATATTTTCATCACCGTATTATAATTTTGTTTTTCTTTTATTTGTATATTGCCCTTTTTATATGCATTTATTTATTGCACCATATAATTTTTGGTTTATATTGTTTTCTTTTTTCTACCATACTGTTAATATCTCACAAATGATTGTGTTGTATTTCATAATTCAATTATATGTATATAACTTGACAAAAATTTCTTTTGTCAAAATTTACACACGGCTGAATTAATCACTTTCAATGAGCCAAAGAAGACGAAGGGTACATATACATGTAATTATTATTTATATATGTCAATTAAATATTTAAACAATGATCATTTTATAACAAATAAATACTTTTTTTTTGTAGATGTAGACCATGAAATTGATAATGATCTACTAGCCATCCTAAGGAAGACATATGTTGATAGAATTTCTCTACAACTATTACAAAACACAACTCTCCTTCGACGACAAGTACTCGATATGTATGCATCTGTAAAAAAGTGGAGGGTATTATTCCTTAAAAAGAAGGCGAAAACTTTAAGGCATTAAATATTTTGTAACTATAATGTTGACATTTAAATTATGTGTTGTAACATATTAAAAAAGAACTTTTAACAAGTTGAATACTTGATATATTATAAGAATTGTATAATTGAAGTCGTTATAGTATTAGTTTTCAAATTCACTTGATAACAATTTTTTTGTATGATGTGTCTTGCAATGATTATAATATCAGTTGATTATGCTCATTGTTCATTGATTCGAACTTGCATTTTATACATCGTACACTTATATTTTAGAAGTATTTATACTAATTAGCACGGTATATACGTGCAACGCACGTGTTCAAAAACTAGTTTCTAATAAGAGTGAATGTTTATATAAAGAAATAATAAAATATAAACATTAACAACTCTTTGGTGTTTACATAAGCATTTCACATTATTTTGAACACTTAAACAATATTTACATTTAAATACTGCACATCCTGGTGTATTTAAAAATTTATATGTTGTTGAAACAACTGTGTGATATTTATCCTAAGAATTTGCATTGTACATTTGTCACCATCCAAAATCTCGAGTCGTGGTGGCATCTATCAAACCCGTCGGTAGGTAAGCCAACAAATATGGTACTGGAACAACGTACGACAATTAACAAGCATATAGGGCATAAGTCATACAACAACGAAAAGAGAAAAAACAGTAGAGTAGAGAAATAACAGTGGAAAGAGAAAATAACATAAAAATATATACAATAGAACAAGATCCAATTCCACAACCTGTTTGATGAAGGTACAAAGCTACTAAAAAGGGTACAAACAACAAAATAAACAAAAGGCAGAATGGTGTGTTGGACCCTTTATACTTGTATCGAATTGTAAAGTGGACCCTTCTACGTATGACTTTGCCAAATGAACACTTAAACTCAATGAAACATAATATTTTAAACACCTCTGATCATTGACCAAACTTATGTGGCAGTAAAATTATTGAGTTGAAAAAATGTGTGAGGTACATGGGAGTTAAGAGCATGAAATTAATACTTTTCATTAGAAATACACATATAATAAAAAAAAAATATTTAAAAATAGAAAAAACAAAAATATCCCCTTCCTCTTCTCTTTTTTCTGTAGAAAAAAGATTAGGTCATAGCCACCCATTGTTTTCACCATTAATTCTTTTTGTTATCTCGCTCCATTTCTAAAAAAAATTACTCATCCTTCAAACAACCCACAACAAACATACAAATTGGAAAGAAGAGGAACTTTTTTGTTTGAATGATTTTTTGGGCTGATTTATTTGTCTTCAAATTTAAAATGGTTACATAATTTGAGCTTTTAATTGAAGGTTTAAATTGAAAACTTCTCTCTAAATTGAAAGCTCAAATCACAAGATTATACGGATTGAATTGAGGATTATGATAACCCGACTTCAGATCAAGACGACTAAGTCAAATAACTCAGTGTGGAACTCGTAGCCTGTGTTGTAACACAAAGATGACAAGAATGTATTAATTGCAGTAGCTTACAGAATCATTCTGATGCTCATTCATTTACTCGATTTCAGCTCTTTGATGGAGATTAGGAAGAAAACTGTCACCGTCATTGCTAAAATCTCCATGGTTGCTTCAAGCAAGCTTGTTTTGGTCGCTGGAGATTCAAGTATTCTCAACAATTTTCTAAGGATTCTTGAAAATCTTGGAGTGTTCTGGGGAAGGAAAATTCATATATAGCTTTGCAAGCATTGGGTCAAGGAGAGGAACTTTATTTTTTTTAGAAAGTTGCCAAATGAGAACACCCAATTCTCAAGCTATTGCTATGGCATCAGGTGTATGTTTTGTGCTTAAGGTGGATGGAAAAAGGGTGGGAGTGGGAGGTGGGTTTGGATTTTTGGCGCGGCTAGGGTCTTCCAAATGAGAATGAAAGGGGTGGGAAAAGAGGTGCAGCGAGAGAGAAAATATTAACTTTTTTAAAAAAATATTATTTATTTTTTAATATTTAATTTCTGACGTGTCATTAAAAAATGACGTGGATTCTACGTGTATTTGGTTGTATTGCACGCACCCTCTTCAAATGAAAAAAAGGGTTAAAAATATTGTGTTTCATTAAGTTTAAGTGTTCACTTGACAAAGTCATAAGTAATAGAGTTCACTTTACAATCTGATA